ATATCAGAATTTGTAATTGAATTGGGGAAATGAATCTAGAATCAAATTAATATACAAGTTTACTTTTAAAAGAAGCAAATGAATGACATGGTAAATTATTTAACAAATTCAGCTTCACAGAAGTAATGTAATTTCCCTAATACTAAATGTATTAAATCTGCTCAAAAAACATATTTATTGTTCAATTTCAAAAGAAAGAAAACCTGCTTTTCTTTTCTTTTACAACATACAATACAATGACTTAAAAGTTTTTGGCACATGTTCTACAACAAATGAATTTCAATTGGCAGCTGGAAGAGGCTGGCAGAACTGTGTGAAACTCCCTCAGAAGTCTCAATTGAATGAGAAGCATGTGGAAAGGCAGGTTTTGTCATGACAATGAATCTATGATTACTTTCAGTGTTTGGTGATATCAATGAGCAGAACTGACAGGACTTGAGACATCAGAGGACATTTGGGTTCAACAACTGTAAAACAGGAGAAGGCGTTCCTCCTTCCTGACCAATTCTTCCAATGTCTACATTTTGAGGGGTGGAACATAATTTAGATCTATTTTAAACTCTAACTCATAGAGTTGTCCTGTTATAGTGGGTATAATTCATTATATGAAAATTAGTTTTTAATAAATTTTATTTAATATTTCTATCAAAAAAAAATCTTTCAATGATTGAGTAACCTGTTTCTACCAATACTCATCATCAGGAAAAACTGAGGAAACAAAGAAGGATTGCATGGATTATTTGGGCCCTCTGACCTATCCATACACATTTTAAGTGCCATGTCATTCTTTCATGTCCAAGATACTTATAAGAGCAAATGTGACAGCAATTAAAAAATTAAAGCCTTTGGGGCTAGGGATGTGGCTCAAGCAGTAGTGTGCTCTCCTGGCATGCATGTGACCCAGGGTTCAATCCTCAGCACCACATACAAACAAAGATGTTGTGTTCACCAAAAACTAAAAAAATAAATATTAAAAAAAATTCTCTCTCTCTCTCTCTCTCTTAAATTAAAAAAAAAAAAAAAGCCTTACACATTGGCACAGGTCTGCAATCCCTGGGGCTCAGCAGTCTGTGGTAGGGGGATCCCAAGTTCAAAGCCAGTTGCAGCATCTTAGAGAGGCTCTAAGCAACATGGAAGGACCCTGTCACAAAGTAAAAAATAAAAATGACTAGGGATGTGGCTCTGTGGCTAAGCACTCCTCATTTCTTTACTCAGTACCCCATCCCAAATAAGAGTCAAAGATTGGGGACCCAACTTTACCTTGGGGTGATTTACACTTGCAGCTATAAACTTTATTTGGGATAAGGAAGTGGAAAATTGAACAAATATAATTTCCAACTGTCAAATGGTCATTTATTTTCTGGAATGTTTGAAATGCATGTCAAGATTAATTTCACGAGAAGAGAAGAATAGGAAAGAAAGAAATGGAGAGAGAAAGAAAAAAGGAAGGAAGGGAAAAAGGCTTTCCTTCTTTTGAAACACGGCAACAACACAAAAAAAACCTGAAATACTTATTTTTATGATTTACATCATGCAATCAAATCATACATATTCTATTAATTAAATATAAAAGAGACACTGCATTCAAAATACAATAAGAATTTCATTAAAATAAATAAATGAATCGATACCTTACATAAGAGCAAAATCATCTCAGTTATGAGGCTTGTTTTTGCAATAAGTAAAGATACATATGACATTGTTTGAAGCACAATAGTGAGATAATATGATTATGTCCTGCCTGTGGTTTTCCCCACCTGGCACCCATGGTATATAAATGGCAGGTGGTATATAAATGACAGTGACATCTAGACTCAAGATACCTATATCCTTATCCTGTACTGAACTTTCCACTCCTGAAAAACAGCATGAGCTGCTACTATGGCAACTACTATGGTGGGCTGGGCTATGGCTATGGTGGCCTAGGCTGTGGCTATGGTGGCTATGGCTGTGGCTATGGTGGCTATGGTGGCTATGGTGGCTATAGTGGCTATGGTGGCTATGGTTATAGATGCTGCCGCCCACTCTGCTACAGAAGATGCTGGTCCAATGGCTTCTACTGAGATATTTCCTCAGCTACTGAGCCAATTGGCTCTAATCTCCTGTCTCACTAGAATCAATTCCACGTTTCTTCATATGAGGAATGTTTGAATGTCTTCAACAATACCAACTCTATGCCAAACTATCTGAGATAATTGAATGAAATCAGCATGACTGTTTTAATTCATCATTACCTCTTAGATTGAAGATAGTTTGGAGAAATATTTTTCCTTTAATAATATCATTAAAACACTTTGTAAATGTGATCAAATTGGACTCTTGATTTTTCTGTAAAAAAAACATTTTATGAAATAAACTATATTTCACTGGAAATATGGGTGTGTTACAATTCTCTTAAATTGTCTCCATTGGTGTAATATGTGTATTTCTGTAATTGCATGTGTTCAATAGGAGTATAAAATTTAATGATGTAAAAATATTAATTCTTTTTAGAGATCAGACAACATCTGTTTTTATATATCTTGTCATATCTCCTAAAATTACCCTTTGTACTTTTTTGAAATTGCTATCTTCTACAAAATTTTTTTTTAATTTCACACCAACCTATTTTAACCATATCTGGATTTATATGCTTTATGTTGTTAGTACCATCAGTGATCAGATTAGATCATCTATAGCTCTGCCTCTGTGAAAAGAATCTCAAAATATCTTTATGTGTGTGTAGTGTACAGCAACATATCTCCTCGCTAAATAATGACCACAGGCTTATTCATATTGATAATGTCTGCAGTAATAATTGTGTTCTGTATTACCATGAGTGCAACCAAATAGCATTTGAACATATATCAATTTACTCTTGTCTTTAAAAACTACATGCATTAGGCATAGAAAGGTACATTTAATAAAAATATAAGCCATTTTCTTAGTATCTAAATAGCATTAATTTGTTTTCCTTTTCACCCCACAGTGTGCTCTTTATTCAGTGTATGCTACACTGAATACATAAGCTAATTTTCTCCAGAATCAAATTCTTTCCACTCTTATTAAAGTGGTTACTTTTCATTTGAGAAACTCAAACTGACAACATTAAATGCAATAAAAGTGCTGATGGGAAAAGTAAGGAATATGGAAACCAATATTTTGAAGATGAAAAATGTTTTAAAAACATTTTTAAGTTGGGTAAAATTCTACCATTCTCCATTCTTGGAGCCAGGAAAGAGGCTTCTCTGACAAAGCATAATCAACAGAAATCTGAGTCCATTTTCAACTTTTTAGAGCTGGCAATCATAGTTGGAGATGAAAAAAGACACAATTTGACAAGCATGTGCTAGGAGAATGCTGACTTCAAAAGATCCAGCTTTCTCCTTGAGATATTTGGAAATTTTGAAGTCATAGGGGTCCATTTCCTAAAACATGAAGCAGAATCACTTCAAAAGGAAACTTTTTAAAAAAATAGTGTTCATATCAAGGTGATGAGAAAACCATTGTTGGAATTAAGGGGAAAATATCCTTAAAAGAAAGAGAAAAAAGAGCAAATCCTCTTTTCTATAGGGAAAAGAGGTAAACAGACCCAAACCAAAATTTAGAGCATAATTGTGTGTTAGGTCTTGTTTGAATGAGATCAACCATATATTTTCTAACAGTCCAAGAGCAACAACAACAAAACTCTCTAAGGTGAAATAAATATTGTTCTGGACCTTCTAAAATTTTAATACAAAATGTTGAGCTATGGACTCCTGTGGAGATATGCAAAAGAGGCAACTGGTAACAAAAGCAAGCATATTAGAGCCACATATTGGAGCTTGTACTAAAATTGGAGGAATGAACCAAACAATCAAATTTAAATATTAGTTCTTTTCAATAAGCAAATAAATAATGTTAAAGAGTTAAATACATTTACCTTCAGAAACAAATATATGTGTAATACTAAATTTAGTATATCTGACCAAAAATATGATTTATTGTCCAGTTTCAAAAGGAAGAGACTTTGTTTTCTTTTGCAACACTTGCATTTTCTCCATGGTCCTCTTGCCACTTGTAGCATGTCATGATATGGACAAAACCCCCTAGTAATCAGAAAAAAAAACACAGAGACGATCATAAATGTCCCACAATAAAATGATTATTAAATTACTGGCACAAAGTTTATGACAAATGTCAGTTGGTAAGGGAAAGAGGCTGGCATATCCATGTGAATCTCTATCAGAAATATCAAATCATTTGTATGAGGACCTTGGGCAAAAGCAGGTTTTTATCATGTCTATGTACCTGTGAATATTTTCAGTGTTTAGTGACAGTAAGTAGCAGAACTGGCAGGATTTGTGATCAGAGGATGTTTTACAGTAACTAAAATCAGAGTGAAGCTTCGGTCTTCCTTACCAGTTCCTCTAATGCCTACATTTAGTGTTGTGGAGCATAGTTTATATTGTCTCTGACAGTCTAAGGTGTTGAGCTATTCTCTTAAAATAGTTCTAATGTCTTTTAGGTAGATAGAATATCATTGAACATTAATATCAAACAAAAAAAACCATCTTTCCATGATTGAGTATCCTTGTTTACACTCATACTTCATCAGCAGCTAAAAATTGAGGAAGCAAAGAAAAAGTACATGCCTCATTTTGTCCATCTGACCTATCCATACACTTTTGAGACATGTCCTTTCTGTAACTGCATGGCACTTATAAAATGAAGTACCTATTTTTTTTTAAAAAAGTGTAGGGTAGGACACCCAACTTTAATTTAGAGCATTTTACACTTGATCCATGATGTTTATTTGGAATGATGAAGGAAATCATGGAGTAAAAAATATTTCTAAGTGGAAAATGTTAATTTATTTGCTGGATTGTTTGAAATACATTAACACAAATTTCACAAGAAGAATAAAATGCGACATGAAAGGAAGGAAGGAAGGAAGGAAGAAAGGAAGGAAGGAGGAAAACAGAGTGGGAGGGAGGGAGAAAAGATGGGAGGGAGAGAGGATGTGAGGGAGAAAGGGAGGAAGAAAGGAAGGAAGAAAGGAAAATCTTTTTCTTCCATTGAAGAATTGAAACAACCCAAAATAAAAAGGAAATACCTACTTCCATAATTTACCTGGAACTATATAATCATATTGTAGGCATTAAACTCACTAAATGTAGAACAATACATGGTCTTCAAAATAGAGTTAGAATTTCATTTTAAAGGCCCATAAACAGATTACAGAATCCTGACATAGGAACAAAATTATCTCAGTTATGAGGCTTGTTTTTGAAATAAGTCAAAATACCCATGACATTGTCTGAAGCACATGATTGAGATAATATGATGGGGCACTGTTTGTGGTTTTCCCCACCAGCACCCCTGGTATATAAAAGGCAGGTAGCAGACAGTGACATTCAGATTCAAGACATCCACGTCCTGATCCTGAACTGAACACTCCACTCCTGACAGCATGAGCTGCTACTATGGCAACTACTGTGGTGGGCTGGGCTATGGCTATGGTGGCCTAGGCTGTGGCTATGGCTGTGGCTATGGTGGCCTAGGCTGTGGCTATGACTGTGGCTATGGTGGCTATGGCTGTGGCTACAGTGGCCTA